AAGCTACGCCTCAGGTTAGGTAGTATCCATTGGTTTGGAAGTAGGTTATGGTCAGAGGGTTTAAATGGGTACCCCCCCTAGTTGGGGTACAGGTACGGCAGATAGTGTAGAACCTTCGGGCGGACTACTTAAATTAAACACTCAAAAGGTGCACGTGTGGCTATATGTACTCTCGTTGTAACTGTAATATGTTATATATCTACTTAATAAAAAGTTTCCAGGCCATAGAAGTTACCTTAACACTAAAAAAAAAAAAATTAATTTTTTTTAAAATTATATTATAATATATATACAACAAATTATATATTCAATATTTATTGTTTAAATTATTAAAGTATTACTGTATATTTCTGAAAATAAGCTACTCCAAAAATAAGCTACTCTCTCACTTTTAAACAAAAAATATAAAATCTTTTCTTATTCAAAAATAAGCTACTTTTAAAATTTTTAACAGTTGTTATATATAAAAGTCAAAATTGTACTAAGTAAATCTAATATTTGTCAAATAATAAAAGTTGTTCAGAATATAAAAATACACATATTCTGAAAGTTTTATACAATTTGAATAACTTTTTACTAGTCCAGTTTTGTATTTTAATTTTGAACTTAAAATGCAAAAGTGTATTAATAAAAAGTAATTCAAATTGTTTTAAACTTTTAAACTATATATAGTTTTAAATTCTGAACAACTTTCATTAATTGTCAAACATAGATTTACTTAGTATAATTTTGACTTTTATATATAAAAACTACTTTTACTTAATAAAAAATAATTAAAAACCTCTCTTACCCAAAAATAAGCTACTTCCAAAATTTTTATGTAATTTTTGCCCAAAAATGGTAGCTTATTTTCAGGAATATACAGTAAAAAATATATTAAATAAATTAATAAAATATAAAATTAAAAAATATGTAATTTAAAAAAAAAAAATTAAAAACTTAACTTTAACTTAATTTAGTTTGAGTTTATATAAAATTGATTAAATTTCTAAATAAGCAAAATAATTTATTTTTTTTTTTGGCAATTTCTATTTGTACAAGAGGTGTATATATTGTACGTTAGAATAGAATCCTAATAGATTTAGAATCTATTTAAGTAGATTTCAAATAAATATAAGTTATAATAGAATTCCAAATTATATTCAAGTTGCTAAAGAATTCAAAATTAACTTAAATTTGAATTTAATAAATTTTAAATAATTTTAACAAGTACGTTATTTTAAAATTTAAATAGATTTAGAATTTATTTAAAAAGTATTTTGCATTGCAAATTATTGCTCAATACTACTAATATTATATAGTATTTTTATATCGATAATTGCTAGAATAACGAACTTTTTCTGATGATCATCTGTACCAAAAAATCTAACAACATTTTTTGTAAAAAACACAATAGCATTTAGTAAAAAATGGAGGGCACACTTAGCTATAAGTTGGCAGTTGTTATTTAGAGATAGTTCTCATATGCTACCTGCTAACTTCTTTGGAGTTTATCACTCACCACTTGCACAGCACTTATCATTTAGAAGTAGTTCTCATATGCTACTTGCCGACAAGCCCAGAGTTTATTAGGACCCTAAAGAACTCTAATATAACTCATATGTTACCAAAAAAGGAAATTTTGCATAGAAAATCACTTTTTTATATAGTAAATTTTTTAAATTTTGCTCTATTTTATATATCTATTTGGCCAAATTTATATAAACTTTATACAAACTTAGATCTAGGTTGTATCAGAGTTCTTTGGGGTTCTAGTTTATCACTCACTGAAAAGAGAGTAAAGGTGTCTCATCCTTTTCTAAAAGAAGGTTTAGGAGTTGTTGAGTCTTTACATGAATATAACTACTTTCCTTGGGTGCAAGTAGTTTCTCTCTAGGTGTTTTTCACTTAGCTGGTTTTCTTCAAAATTTTCGACAAAAAGTGGGCGATTTGGCTTACTCCCTCCAAAAGATCAGCATTGTTTATCTTCCAAATTCGAATATACCCAAGAATGCAACCACGTGCCTTGTTTATTGGTAAATATAATACGTAACGTAGTCTATAAATACAGGATCTCCACGTGACTGGAATTAGGTCTTTGGTATAAAAGGCATCCAGAGGTGGTTGGTAGTCAGATAATAATTTGTTAGATTTTGTAGTCGAGATATACAAATGTTGCAGTTGTTATAAAATTTTTTCTTAAACCTGGTATGGGTTATAACAGTATATTTTTCTTTTTTTCTTTTGTTCTATTTGTACTATTTTTTGATAGAGGTAGTTCTCTCTTTGTTGGCCCTTGGGCTTTCTCTTTGTTTTTCTTTTTTTATATTTCATTGTACATCTTTTATTTTTTCTTTTAAAATTTCTCCTTCATTCTATTTGTTTTTTTTTAGTTAGTTTTTTGTTTTGTCTTCTTGGTATTATCGGTGGTTTTGTATTAGATATAAGATCATCACTTTCTTTTGCTCTTGGTAAAGAAAGAGAATATGAAAAGAAAAGCTTTGATGGGCTAACAAAGTTTATTTAACTTGTATACAGGTTGGTGCAACAAGAACATGTGGGCATGTTAATCGCAGCCAGGTAATGTCAGGCTCGCAATTGCAAGACTCCCTGTTTAAATTATGAATAATATGTATTGTTCGAGAGAGTTCAACTCTTATCAAAATATAGTTTTAAATAAATTGAGCACTGGCAAGACTGTCAAAGAATTAAAAAAAAAAAAAAAAATTGCTAGAATAACAGCTACTACTACATGGTATATTTGCTTTTTATATTTATAAAAATTTTGTTCACAAGTATTTTTGCAATTATATTTTAAATTACCTATTTTTGATGCAAATTGTGCCAATACTACTTTATAAATACTTATAAAAGTTGAAGGAATATTATCTAATTCTGAAAATTTACTAGGACCTAAAGGAAGTAGTTTAGTAGCATTGTAGGTAATTTAAATAATGTCTGATTTACATCTAATCTTGTAAGTATTGTTTTGCAAAATTTCAAGAATCTTACATAGTAATGTTTTTCAATCACTATGTGTTTTGTCAATTTCAGGAATTTTGAAATAAACAAAATCTCCAATATTATATTTGTTTGCAAATTTTTTATTATACTTAGTTAACTGTGATTTTATATCATTATTATATTTTTTAAAAGATTTCATAGCAATGCCTCAATAGATTTTATGTGCTGTTATTTGTTTTATTTTGAAAATATGTTGAGAATTATATTCACCTAAAGCAGACTACAAAAAAAAATAAATAAATCTAAAATTCTAAGATAGCAATTATTAAAAATATTTCATAATATATTCAAAATAAATTGTAATTAAATACCCAAGTTTTAAATATATTCCTCATTAATTTATTGGCTTCATATTCAGGTAATTTCATCCGTTTAATAAATTTTATTAAAACTTATCATAAATCATCTGATAAAATACCCGGTATGACAAATAATATAGATCAAATTTTAAAATATTATTTATACACTATGTGATGCAAAATACACATGATTTAAATTTTTTTCTATTGTAAAAAATTGCATCATACCGGGTATTTTATCAGGTGATTTACGGTATTTTATAATATAAAAAAAATAATTTACATTTTCAATTTTTTTCATTTAAATTTTTTTACCTACTGCTTTATCTATTATTTTATTCACCTTTTCACTTATAATTTCATTTACTTCTTTACTTATAATTTCATCTATCTCTTTACTCAAAATTTCATCTACTTCTTTATTCATAATTTCATTTATCTTTACAATTACAATTTCACTTACTCTTTTACTTACTTCTTCGTTTACTCCTTTATCTGCTTTATGTTTAATTTTTTTGTTTGCATTTTTATTTACTTTTTTATTTTCTTCCTCATCATTTATTCTTTTTCTTTTATCTACTACTCTATTCATTTTTTTTCTTGCTTTTTTATTTGTTTTTTGTCTACCTTTTTATTTATTCTTTTATTTTTATTTTATTTTATTTTTTTAAATTTGGCAGTCTTGCCAATACTGTTTATTAGTACGCTAAGGTATTTTGGTTACAAATGTCACATGTACAATTACAACACTCTAATGTATTACGAGATATTGGCTTACCTGGTTACTAACTTAGTACTTATGTGTGACCTGCTATATGAGATTTTACCTCCTTAATAACTATCCTACAACCAGACCAATTACTAAATCACTGGATAGTTCCCAAACCTATTTTTATCATATATATCCCGCTTATATACTACTGTACAACATCCACCAAGCAACTTCTATCTTTCATCACTTATCACATTACTCGTATTACTTCCAAATTGGTGTCTTTCGAGTGGGCACTCTTCGTGCTTCCAGTTTGGTGTCCCTAGAGGAGTTACTTTATGGGCCTAGCCATATCTCAAACAGTTAAGTTGCCAAACTA